CCGTGACTCGGGGACATCCCTGGCATTATATAAGTCGTAGAACTTTTCAGAGTAATGATGGATTTGAAAATCATCGGGAAGGTCGGGAGGGGTAGTTGCTGGGCTGGGAGGGTGGGCAGTATTTGATCGGCCATTTCCATAGGAAGGGCTCCGTTTGGGAGCCTGAGAACTCATAGACTGTGATGAGCGATGCTTCGCCTTTTTAGGAGGATGATGGTGATCTCCAGAATGGCCATGTTTCCCATTTTCTTGCGGACTCGCATGGCCATTTATTGGTAGCTCGGTAGGTCTCGATCTCTTCTTGTGGCTTCTGGGAGGGGGTCTTTTTGTTCTTTTATCGGCACGCTCGTCCGTCGTTCCGTTTTTCAGGCGTAGTGTACGCTCAATAGCCTTTTGACGGTCGAGAGGGCGAGGTTTGCATTCTGCACAAGAATGTGCAAAATCTTCGCGCACAGCTTCCTCTCGATTGTCAGGGTAGAAGCAGTCGATGTGCTGCCACGTATCACATGACTCGCAATAGATTGTGTTTCCATCATCGTCAGAGAAGTTACATATACACTTGATGGTATATGGTTCTTCTTCCGCTCCCTCAGTCGGTCGGGCAACTTCGTCTTTAGGCGTTGCGCCTGGAAGAGCCAGAGGGGCGATCTGACTAGGAGTCGCAGACTGCGTTGACAGCGGTTCTGGTCTGTCGGTCATAATCTGTGGTAAAGATAATACAGTGAACACCGGAGGGGGTATGTGTCTAATCTATTATCGCGGTCTTTGGAGCATGACGACGCCGTTCAGATGGCGCGCCGGGGAGACCGTAAGAGGAGTCGATAACCTGAGTGGTTTAAGGGAGTCTCATTCGCCAAGACAAGCGTGGATCGTATTCTGACAGCCAGAAATCGCAATCGTCGAACAAGAGACTCGAGACAGGTCGAGACGTCGACACAAAGGGTGGAGGGTCAGCGGCGCGACGACGGGAGAAACAAAGTCAACGGTCGTAATCAGGTCGACACGAAGATGTCGAATATGAAGCGTAGACGCGAGTCGAAGGCGTGTTGGGGACACTCGGTCGGTTTGTGTTTTCGCAAAACTCGTTGTGATCGGTCACGGCAGGGTTGAGACGAGTTAAAGTCGAGATGTCGAGCGCGGAGAAGACGAAGATTAAAGGTGTAGGTGGCGAAATTCGATGGGGAGATCAGAAGAAAATAAGATTTGAGACTACTCAAACACAATCTGTACAGAAGAAGCGCTTGAAGCAGAATGGAGATAACGAGAGGTGAGGATTGAAGATCGTGGACTGCACGAAGAAGGGTGGGTGATGGGAAGAAAGAGGATGGGGAGGAGCGACAAGACCGGGAGTGCTTCAAGACAAGTGCGGTACTGGTGCTGGTGCTCACTGGTGGTAGGCTGGACTGGGCTGGTACTGGTACTGAGGTACCAGCCTGGGACCTGCCTGGGTTCCATTTCCAGTTGGCTAAGAGGGGGAGGAGAGCAGGTAATGGAAGGGTAGAGGAGAAAAGTACGTACCATTGGTATCTTCACCTCACCAGCGGCTCACGCTTCCCGTCTCATTCTCTTGATGGCTCCCACTCAATCTCAGCGCGCAGATGCAGCAACGATAACATAAGAGGGTGCCAAAACTTGAATGGTCCACTGGGCCGTTTTTGGTATCCTCTCCTGATGCTTCTGGGCTGGATTGGGTAGAAGTTCCATGAAAAAGAAGTGTGCGAGTGAGAGAACGGGGACACTCCCACTCCAGCGACAGTGGCCCCCCAAAGAAAAGACAAGACAGAGAGACATGGAAGAGAAGAGACGAGACAATAACCAAAATTCGGCGCTAGACCAAACCTTGACTGGCGGTGGATAAGGAGAACTCTTAGTGCAGGAAGCAGGGCACGCAGGGCGCATTGTTGGCCTGAGGCACTAACAATAAAAATTGTCCCGCTGCCGCTGCCGCTGCGCCTGAGCACAGGGCTAAGAGGGGGAAGGAAACTCAAGAGAGCGGAGGGGAGAGGGTTTCTGCTGGAAATTGCGTACGGCGAGTTTTTGTTGGCGTTGGCGTAGCCAGCCAGGGGGCTCGGTTTGTCACTGAGTGAGTCCGTTGAGACTCGAGTATCGTTTGAGATAGCACGGGTGAGGGGAACGGTGATGGAAACAAGACAAAGAATAGAAAGCCATGTCTCGAGTTTATCGAGTATGCTTCGCTATGCTTTCTGCTTTGCTTTTTGGTAATGGGCCGATACTAGGAGTTGAGTATTTCGTATGAACGGGAAGCGAAGGAGTCGGGAGGGGCTTCACCAGATTTTCAAAGGCAAAGTGACGACGGCCACTATCAGGGAATCAGGCACGTAACCTGAACACGTCTCAGAGCCAGTCGAAGGCAATAAACAGCAGATGACAGCTGAAGCTGGGTTTGCTAGCCTCAAGAAATGACTGTGGTTGGCGGGCTTGCAGTGGAGATGAGTGGGGCGTCTGAAATTTGGCACCCGCCACAAATAACCTGCGCTTGGTGAAACGAGGAACCATTCATTCTAAGTTAGTAAGTACTAATCTAAGCTGAGGCCGCCGAGGTAAACCCCAGGAAGGGGAAGAAAATAGTATTTATTTATTGTGAGTGTTGTTCGCCGCGTTGAGATTTGCTTGATCTGAGAAGAACGGGATAGTTCAATAACAGAAACTCATGGCTACTCAATGTGAATGTAATACTCTATTATCTTAGCCACGGCGTTCATTTCGACGCCTTCACGAAACGATGTCGAAAACGGGACCACACTTCTTCATGGTAAAATGCAATTTAGAAGAGCCTAGCTTGCTAATACAGTCCCATGCTTTTGTAGTTCGCACTGTATATGAAGACAGTGCCCGCGACAAGGACGGCATATCCTTGTTGCTTCGACTGGCTTGTTTTGCATGGAGCAGGCTTGGTACCAATCTGGCCTTACACCTCCAAGCCAATCAGGTGAGGCTACTTCGAAGTTCATTACTACATTGTGCATACATATCTGTGTTCGGAGCCTGTGAAAGATTCCATGATGAAACGGAAGTGTGTGCAAGCTGACTGCGTGATAATGATGATATTCGTCGCGTCATCACCACGTGCAAATTGCTCAGTGTCAAAGGAGCGACAATTGCGTCGAATTTTGTAAACAGCAACATTTTAACAGGAAGCCTGAGATGCAAAAAGACTCATTATAATGAAGGGCACGAGCAAGAAGTATCTATTTAAACCATACCAAACTTGTCTGAATATACCTATTACCCGAGACCTCATGGGGTTTATGCCTCCGGACAATCCTTAGAGGGCACCTCGATACCAAACACGTACATTTGAATACTGGCCTTCCCAGATGCCGACATTCTCGTCCCACGGTCTGCTCAGAACATCTATGTGCAACAAGTGTCCATCACCATCGTGTCTGTCTCGCGATGCTGCCCGTATTCGCACCCATGCTTGGCTGACACCCAGGGCATGGAAATGGCCCGCGTACGAATGAGATCCGGGTGCGACGCTGAACTGCTGCAAATACAGATATCTGTTTTACAGAGAGCGTCGCCTGGATATTTTCCCATTTCCCAATGACCGTTTTCTTTTGAGCTCGAGTCTTGGGCAGCTGGTGGCAGTCAACACGAAACATGTACCAACAGCCCAAGGCGACTTCATTCCGATGGACTAGTGGACCCCCTTTCGTGACGAAACCTTAGCCTCAGAGGCTCACACCTTGCGGAAGTGGGGAAAGTTGCACCAGAAGAAACGCATGCATCAGGGAGAAAGAAAACCTCTAGTCTTAACCTAGGGCGCCAGAATTGATCGATCTAAAGGCCTATCAAGCGTATACTAGGTTTGTCTAAATCTTTTTGTCACTTGTGTCTGGGTCCTTAGTTTTCTTTTCTCCCCTAGGCATGGTCTACACAGTGCGATACCAAGGTGACGAAGATGTGTCGCGGGCAGGGGTTAACCCATCGGCAAAGGCCAGCATAAATATGCATTGTCCAAAACATGGAAATGCTATTCAAGCTTCTGCCGAGCTATACATACGCCAAAAGCCAATAGCAACACCAGCGCAATCAATCCATGACTCGAATCCACTCGAGGGAGCTTATAGAATACCTTAACCGACACGTCTCACCGTGACCCCCTGGTGAAATACTCATTGTGGTATGTCGCCGTGACATGCCATCATGATTCCGGTACCCTTCGCGACATAAACCAGAAAAAAAGCCCGCAGAACTTGTCAGATCTGGCAGCAGGAGCAACACCAGCATGCGCAATTCCGTAGCAAGTTCCTACAGTCCTTCTTCATGCCCGCCGCAAGCAGCAGATCACAATGAAAGATGGTAATAAAGCAAAAATTCCGCCCCCTATGGTCCCGAAGGACAATAGAGTGTGGAGTGACTCCGCGGGTGTGCAATGCAGGCCCTCCACGCTAGAAAGGCCAATTCTTGAGCTGGCTTTCCTGAGGCAAGGTAAGTATGAAGAGTTCAAAAAAAGGTTGGAAGAAAAGCGCAATTATATACCGAGATCTGAGAATGGCCCGTGCACAAGGCTTCGACTTTTGTGCCTCAGGTCGTGACTTATTCGGTGACGCTAAGCGTGAATGGCTCCTGAGGAGGCTGGGCTTGCTAAATTCGGCATGTTCCACCTCCGCAAACTTGAGACAGGAACCTGCATCAGAATGAGCATGCAGCTTTTCTATCTCATGATGTTACCAAAAAAAAAAAAAAAAATCACAATTAACTGAAAGTCAGTAACTCATACGCTTTGCCGAGTTATACACACTCATTTCGCTACTCATCATGATGGCTCGGTCTGGAGGCTTGATTCCATCATTTGGTTCTAGGCTTTAGGCTCCATGATAAGGTAAGGTACGTAGCTTATTTAGTGCACTTGGATATGGCCCGCGATCATCTGCAAGGCGGTAAGGCATCCATTCTCAACCGCTCTCGGCCAGTCGTTGTACCAAAAAGTGGAGGATAAGTCCCATGACGCACTCAACACTAAGCCACTCGCCATCCAACCATTCTGCCCTGATAACGACCTCTCTCATCATCTTCACACGACTTCCATCATCTAATTATTGCTTCGTATCATTTTCGTAAACATCACAACATACAACAACCCATCGCATCTCGCGAGATAACACCGCGCGATGAGATTCTCTACCGTCACCGCATGTCTGACGGCATGCCTGGCCCCAGCGGCTGCTCTGAGCGTTCTCAATGGCAAGGCTCCCGATGTTACCATCAGCGACGACCTCAAGATTCCTGGCGACTCTCCCCTCGAACTGTGTCCCGGAGACCATACTGCCGACCTGATCCGGATTGACAAGGTCGACCTTGCTCCTAACCCTCCCAAAGCGTACGATTTGCCCGCTCATACTTGCACAACCATGAGATACTAACATTTTGATAGTGGCCAGGAACTCTTGATCAAGGCAAAGGGAGTGGTCAAACAGAAGATTGAGCAGGACGCCTATGTTCTCTTGACTGTCAAGTATGGCCTTATTCGTCTTATTAGCACCAAGGCCGATCTTTGCGAGCAGATTGGCAATGTCGACCTGAAGTGTCCAGTCGAGGCTGGTGAAGTCGAGATCACCAAGACCGTAGACCTTCCTGCTGAGATCCCTCCCGTACATGGATACTCCTCCTTTTCCTCATGTTTTTTTTTCTAACCTGTTACAGGGCAAATACACCGTTCTGGCCGACGTCTTCACCGCCGATGATGTTCAAATTACCTGCCTCACAGCAACTGTCACTTTCTCTCGTAGCAGCAAGGGCTTCTTTGGCAGCGATCTGTAATTGACATTATGGCGCATTCATAACATACATATGATGGCATGAATTACCGTTGGGCACGTTCTCATGGGTTTCTCGGTTAAACGTTTGGTTTGGCGAAGTTTCTTGCTCTTCCTGAGCAACCTGCAGCGGCTTTAGATCTATTTAGCATATCTGATAATGAGTCCATTGCATTGTACTCCACCTCGTATCTCTGTAATAGGAACTGCCCTGCACAACATTAAGTCGAAGAAAAAACCGCAATGCTGGCCTCAAGTCATGTGCGGCCATGCTCACTGCCGCCTCTATGCCATGCTCGCTCCATTATCCCGAAACAAATCCTTGCGCCCAGTGAAACAATATCCCTTACTCTCCAAATAGGCGTCGCACTCGTCTCAATACACTATCCTTCTCAGGGTCGTAAGGGTGGTCTTTGCTTGGGATCTCCAACACGGCAGGGAAAGCCGCAGTATAGGTATCGATGCGATGTCGAATTCGGTCAGCGATCTGCAGGAGAGTTAGTTGCAGCGGTATAAAGAATTGGAACGATGTCTAACATGTTGATTGATGAGCACGATGCCAATATCTTTGCGATCTTCGGTGAATCGATCGAACGCGGCCTCAATAGCAGCTGTATCGGTCTTGCCATCAACGACGAGGAAGTTCTTTTGAGCATCGGCACCTGTAGTTACATGCTATTGAATAGAGTTAGCCTGTGCAGGGAGAGTGCGCAGTAATTCTGAGACTCACGCCGATACCCGCAAGAAGCAGGCCTGTTACTGAGTCCTAGATAAGAGCTACGTCAGCGCAAACCTTCGAACCAAGAGCCATTCATTGCAGCACATACTTCGTCGCCAATGACGGCGAGGAATTGACGGTCCTTATAATCTGCTTGCGAGGCCATCTCGATGAACGTGGATGTGCGTTTGCGCGTCCCTCTTGGGTGTTGATGGCGCTAAGTTGATGATAGTGGAAGTGACAACGACGAGGAGGTCGGCGCCTGAAGTTCCGCTCCGCCTAGGAACCTGGAAGCTCTGACCATTGTGAGCAAGGTAGGCCCACGTCAGGTGGATGCTGCAGCCTCCACTGAGTTTCTACTGGCCGGCTTCTGAAGTACCTTAGGCAGGTACTGTACTAGCGAACAAAGAATTGACCTGGTCCTTAGCAACAGTGATCTCGAAGTAAACAACATCTGGCCAGGTCGCCGCCTTTACTTTCTTTATTACTTTCATACTAACTCACGACTCTCCTCCCTGGTATTGCGATCGCGAATTTCGAAGAAAACAACCTGCTGTGCGCTCAACATGCCACGCCTAGTTCGCCGGCAGCCGCTCAGAGAGCGTATCATGGCTGCAATCAATCCTATGGACTTTTTGCTTTGGTTGTCCGAAGAGCTGGAAACGAGAGATTGGGACTCAGCTTCTGTTGGAACACAAATGGGCCTTGCCATGAACTTTGTTTTCTTACTTGCGCGCGCGAATTCAGGATCCTCAACCTCAAGTGACGATATTTTCAGCGATGAAACCAGTTCAGGGTGGCTATCATTCTTGGTAAGCTCTCGTCTTCTCAGGCTGCTCTATTACAATGTCGAGGCTAACCACATATCCTGTAAAGGTCTATCCGCTGGTATGGACCCTCGTCGCTTTCTCGTTTACCAATGCTTTCTACACAATTACACGAACGCGCAAGTACCGACTCTTTCTGGCCAAGGTCGACAAGCCGCTTTCAACGCCTTCTGCGCGACGTGTGAAAGTAAACCAATCGAGCGCATCGCCTTCTACGCCCCTGAGCTATCTCGCCAATCTGATAACACCAGAATCTGCCGAGTCGCGAGCCCACCCAGATAAGACATCAGATGTCTGGGAGCTGTCAGTCTGGGATCCTTTGCCAGTTTCCTTGCGTCTGGCTTGTCTCTTTGGCCCTGGACATGTTTTGGTGTACATGATTTTCCTTCCTCTGGCTCCTCTTGATCCCCGACCAAGCGTGACGGTTCTGAATACACTAGTTCTGCAGGGCCTTATTTCCGCTCAGCTTCTCTTCTTCTGTTCTCGATTTGCGCAACAAGCAAAGGATAAGGCCGTGATTCAGGAGCAAGTGATGAAAGAGTACGATACCAAATTTGTCCATCCCCGTCTTCACCCTACAGTCCGCGATATCGGCACACAGTTCTCAATAGACCAGCCCGACGACTATCAAGAATTTGTGCAGACTGGAACTCCTACGGTTCAGATCCGTCATGGTTTCCAGATCCACTCTAACCCATACACTGGAACGGATCATACCCCTGAGGAACGATCCCTCACCCCAACCTCCAACAACGTAATGAAGCCTCACATGTTCACGCCTCCCACAGCAACTCGACGCTCGGAAGCTTTTAGACCCGCTACCAGCCAGAGGGGCACCGCACCTCGTCATAGTTTGCCCGCAGGCTACACTTCAACTGGTACATCCTCAGGAGTTCAAGGAATGAGCTTTGGTGGAAACATGGGCATTCATACTCATAACAAGTCACCCCTCAAGAAGGCCACCAGCCTTAATGAACTCAATCCTCAGGAAGCGGCATCTCCGCGTAATTCTCGGGAAATGGCAGCTTATGAGCAACGAAACTGGGGAGCAGCAACACCGTCGAAAAAGGTTGACAGTCGTCGACTGACAGGTTCAAGACCTAATGGAGGCGGCAACCCCTTTGCTGGATTGGTTCGGCAACAAGCACCCTCGGATAATCGTCATCCGCGATGGTAGCTTTCGATTATTATCTTGTTTATTATACATTTAACCACATCGAAGCTTTAATGTAGCCTCGGATAGCAAACATTGGCGTTAAGGTCTGGCTTCTGAATAAATATTATGGAACATCCTGAACCTCCCTAACCTATATTCATCGTGAGCCTGTCTTTGATGGTTTATGCCTGCTTAAATACTGTCACGATTCGTTTCTATACCTTAGGTACTTATCATAAGCATCAAGGGATATCGGAGACGATGGCAGGCGGGGGATTTGTATGCATTCGTCGTGGTTTCCCTCCCAATATCACTAGTGGCATATACGAGGAAAGCGTAGTTGATGGCTTCTCAGGATCGATGCCAATGGTACACTTGATGTGATAATCTTCTCTTTGACAATCACCCCTGATCCTCGTATCCATAACTGCTGTCCTTACCTAGCGCTCTCATGCAAGTTCGAAAATATTAACAGTCACCAATCACCCCCTTTCTTTACCATATTATCAAACAGAGTCAAGTTATTGATCAACGACGCGATTGCCTGCACCTAGACATGCCTGAGAAACCACATTGGTCATCACTACGCCGCAGGGCAGCATTGTCTGACCATCCTTCCCTGCCTTCACATCCGCAGAATCTCCCTCAACGCATGGAAGATTCCGGGAGAAGACTAACACTTGGAGATTTGGGTATACGAGCTAAGGAAAGACAGGAACCTGCTCGGAGTGCCACATTAGGGGATGTGGGAGATTGGTTCAGGAACAAGCTTCCAAGTCATCGTCCAGAAAGAGGAGGGACATTGAGAAATAACGGGGTTTGGGAAAACGGAGAGGCTGCTGGCAATTATTCAGCTCAACTTCAACACAAAGTCAACAATCGAGCACCAGCACAACAGCCCTCTGCCTCAAATCGCCGAGGGGGCCAACGCAGCAGAAAAGGGGGTTCGGATCGCCTTGTGGATTGGAACACACCAAAGAACTTAAGTGAAGCAGTGCCTGAACCAAAGCCCGCATCTAGAAGCAAAGGGAATGGGCCTTCACTGCCGCCTCATCGTAGATGGAATGACTTTGGTTCCCTGAGAATAAGCAAGAAGCGCGGTCAGAAGAAGCCGAGTGGCAGTATAGAAGCCGAGAAGGACAAAGGGAAACAACCCATGAGGCGCTCCTCCAGGGCCCAGTCCTTCGCGGCAGCCATTCAAGGAACACCTAGCATATTGGAAGTTCTAGAAGCCAATCGAAAGGCAAGGAGAAAAGCCCGAGAGGACCGGGAAAGTCTGAGAGAGAGCGGAGATTACTTGGGCGTCCAAGGTATCAATCCGCAGACTGGTATTCTTGATCTTACATCGGACAGCGGAGAGAGCATCCTGAGCTCGGAAACTGAACAAAAGCTACTGGCCCTGGAGGCACAGGCCAAGAACGCTTTATCAGCTGCCGGAAGAAAGGAGGCCGAGGTCGAAATCGTCAAGGTACATCTCGACCATGAAGTTGCGAAGACACGACGACAAGAGAAAGCAGAAAAACAACTGGCAGCTTCTGCCACTGGCAAATGGCGAAGGGGGACACACCAGTGGTCGTCGGTTCAGGAGCCTGATTTGAGCCCCATTGCCCAATCACACAGAAGTACTTCAGTATTCTCAAGTCAGTATTCTAATCTATGCCATTTTCGCCCTGACACATTTAACTAAACTTGTCTTTTGACGTAGGGCGCCCGTCACACCGAGACTTAGATATGGCAAAGGAGGAAGGGCTCATCGACTTAGACCTTCCGCTTCATCACAATGACTCAAAGCAACCTTCCGATGAAGAATTCCCACCTGTTGTGCAACCCAAAGAAAGCTCGCACTCATCTGACACGGTCATCAAAACCCCCCATCGACGCAGCCTGGCGAATCCGTCTCCTGCGGCCTTGGAGCTTTTCGAGAATGACATAAGTTTCCATAACCCAATCGAGCCCAGGCCAGACAGAGATCAGATCCCAAAGTCTTCCCTTGAACCCGCGCATGATGATACACAAATACAAACGGCTTTGAACGAGACACAGCATCTGCAGGGGAACAAGAAGTTCCACGAGGCGGGCGGACCACTGGCGGACCACAGAAACCAAAACAAAGGCTCCAAGTCTTTTTTAGAGAAGGGACCAGAAGGGGAAACAGAACCAGGAGGAACCCAGACACTTCGGATTTCAATCAGCAAGAACTCTTTGCTAGATCTCTCGATGATACCAAACCTCACAGCATCCAACCACAACAGCCACTTACTAGAGAAGAGCAAGATCGAGATACGAAGCCAGCACGAGAACAACATTCCAGAAAGCTTCGTGCAAGATTTGACGATCACCCACGAGAAATCCACTACCCCCCTGACAACATTGGAACAAACCGCATCGAGTTCCCTAGAAAACCAGTGCCAACACACTCAAGCCTCGACATACCATCAGCAAGTCTCGACAGGACGCGTATAGAACCCGCACCTAACAGGAAGCCTAAGGATACAGCCAAGTTGGGAGCAAGAGGCACTGAACAGTTCAACGCCGTCTCCAACAGTCCTACTGCTCCAGCGGCGGACATTGAAAGCTGGGATCACAAACGGCCCACTACCCCAAAGCGAGGTAGAGCGGTCAGCAACTCGAGATCCCCTCACCGCTCCTCCGTTTCTCTCGAAAGAAGCGACAGTCAACGAGAAGCTGCAACATCTACCTACGATTACCAGGGAAATAACACAAACAAACCAACAAACAATCAAAGTGACTCATCCCCAATTCTTGCATCAGGTCCATACGAAACCCGAGACCAAAGATCATACAGCCAAGCAGGTTTGGACGCAGAGCGCGAATCACGACATCACGAATAGGTACGAGGTCAAGGGGGCGTCTGCATCCACAAACACCACCATCATTACTGGGTGCGGCCAGATAACATCGAAATACCCCCCCAAGAGAGGTCAAGAGGCCGGAAAGGGTCTACAGCGCAAGCGCAGGCTCAACCGGGTAATCCACAACCTGAAGAGATTTGGCACAACGCCAAACAGCTTGGAAGCTTCCCCAGAGAATCGTGGACTGAGTGCATTGCCGAAATCGGCGTCCGTGGAAAGGATTCAAGCGACCGATACTATATCGGAGAGTCCTCTCGAGGAGTCGAGAAAACAACCACAAGCACAAGGGTACAACACCATGGGGAAATTACCAGAAGTGCCAGCAACGCAGCACCGATGCAGCAGTTTGTCAACATCCACTTGCACAATGGACGTCAAAAACAGAGAAGAGGGGGAGAAAAGGCAGAACATTCCTCAGAAAGCCAGCGTTCAATTGAGCAATCTGGATCTTCTATCTCAAATATACATGCCAGGAGTCAGCAATCAAGCAACGGATCCAGGGATTCACGTGCCAGGCAGTCTTCCAAGACATTGGAACGCCGAAGACGGCATCGCAGATCTTTCCAGTAATAGATCTCAACAGGGTGTGACGGGAGGATTGTGGGATGCTATCAAGGAGTTTCTGTGTACGATCAAGGGGTACAACATACAGTTTTTGAGATTGTACTGGAAAGCGGTGAAGCCTGTCTTTGATTACAGCTCTCCGTATTGGAGAGCTACCGATCGAGACAACGATGGTTGGACAGATTTGGCGAGTACTTGTCTCGCATTACCCCTTGTATTCGGGCTGTTGGTGATATTAGTATGGGGTATGGAATTAACGGCAATCACAATGAAGTGCAGGGAAGCGGATTGGGATTGTTTAGTTGACGAGGCACTGGCAATGTTTCGGCGGAGCTTGACCGGAGTATACATGGACGACTAGGTACACAACGGCCGGGCGGATACCCGGGAAAGGACCGGTGCCGGAGACAACATAGTCCGGGGCAAGCCGTGCGCCGATGGCGGATGCGGAGGAAGGTAAAATAGATAATACATAGTACGTCTTTACGATACAGCATGTTTAATGTTGAAATTGATCGTCTGTTCGACTCTGACTTAATCACTAATGTCTCAAGTGTGTTGGCTCTTCGTATTCATGGGATTCATGTTCATGTAACACCGTGTAAGAACCAACGAAGTCTGGTGCTATTAGCTAATTTGCAAATATCTAAAACTCAGCATTGAGTGAGGCAAGGCAATTGATGTCGTAATTAGACCAGGGTAGAGCCGTGGAGTTTGAAAAAGAACCAAAACTAAATAGCAATCGGAGGTCTTGGACTTTTGACATCGGAGGTTGAAAAAGCAGCGATCAGCGAACAACCAATAGTAACCAATTATTTAGCAATCAGCGCAGGAGGCAGCTGTGGGTCTACCCCGCGCTGGCGCCCGTCCTGGGGCTTCTGGCCTCTTGGTGAGCTCCAATTGCTGACGGCCGCAAACGGACCCCTCCGATCATCGGCGCCTTCGTGCCAATTCGATGAAGCTCGTGGAATTGGGCAGGAGAGGGGCGCTCAGATGAAATTTTGTTGATAAACCCCAGAAGCAGACGCCTTTTTTTCTAAGTAATTCCAGTCCATTTCCTGACTTCTTCTTTCTTCAGCTGCATCATATAACTCTGTCCCCTTGTCTAAAGCAGAGAGTTAAAGCTTCCTCTTCTCCTTAACAACTCCATCAACTACCTTCTTCCTTTTGAACCAACTACATACCTTCTCACCCTGCATTTGTGATATTCTCCTATTCACGAGCGTCATTAATCACTTCGTCTCTCAAGTACTCTTTCAAAGTCGTTCACTCAGGGCGACTATAAACATCAAGATGCCTGCTCCCGTGGGTAACCCCCAGACCCTCTACGACAAGGTCTTCTCGGCACATATCGTCGACGAAAAGCTCGATGGCACAATTCTTCTCTACATCGGTACGTTTCTGTGCGTTTAATTCTGCTTATGGGCAGTGAACTGACGAAGTTGGCCAAAAGACCGGCACTTGGTCCATGAAGTGACATCACCAGTAAGTTTAAATCCCCCAAACGATCGACGTTAGGTTCCGAACATCCGTTAACCAATTACCAACAGCAAGCCTTTGAGGGTCTCGAAAATGCAGGCCGCAAAGTCCGAAGACCTGATTGCACTCTCGCAACCACTGATCACGTATGCATTACCAACTACTGGAAACTACCGTAACCGGTGGTCAACAGAGCATTTACTGACCCTGGACCCTGCAGAACGTCCCCACCACATCCCGTAAAGCCCTGAAGGACATTGCTTCATTCATCGAGGAGGACGATTCGCGAACACAGTGTGTCACTCTCGAGGAGAATGTCAAGAAGTTTGGTGTCACATATTTCGGCCTGGGCGACAAACGACAAGGCATTGTCCACATCATTGGCCCCGAGCAAGGCTTCACTCTCCCTGGAACCACCGTCGTGTGCGGTGACAGCCACACCTCAACACATGGCGCCTTCGGTGCTCTTGCCTTTGGTATCGGTACCAGCGAGGTTGAGCATGTCTTGGCCACTCAGTGCCTCATCACCAAGCGCAGCAAGAACATGAGGATACAGATTGACGGTGAGCTGGCCCCTGGTGTCAGCTCCAAGGACGTCGTCCTCCACGCCATCGGCAGGATCGGAACTGCCGGAGGTACTGGTGCCGTTATTGAGTTTTGCGGATCTGTTATCCGTAGCCTGAGCATGGAGGCTCGCATGTCCATCTGCAACATGTCCATCGAGGGTGGTGCCCGTGCTGGTATGGTTGCCCCTGATGAGATCACCTTCGAATATCTCAAGGGACGCCCCTTGGCCCCCAAGTATGGTTCCGAGACCTGGAACCAGGCTGTTGCCTACTGGGAGTCTCTCCAGTCTGATCCTGGCGCCAAGTACGACATTGATGTCTTCATTGACGCCAAGGACATCATTCCCACCATTACCTGGGGAACCAGCCCTGAGGATGTCGTTCCCATCACCGGATGTGTCCCTGACCCTGAGACCTTTAGTAGCGAGAACAAGAAGGCCGCCGGCCGCCGCATGCTTGAGTACATGGGCTTGACGGCTGGAACACCAATGGAGGACATTCCCGTTGATAAGGTGTTTATTGGATCGTGCACCAACGCCCGAATTGAGGATCTGAGAGCCGCCGCCAACGTTGTGAAGGGGCGAAAAGTTGCTGATAACATCAAGCGCGCCATGGTTGTCCCTGGTTCCGGTCTTGTGAAGGCACAGGCTGAGGAGGAGGGCCTCGACCAGATCTTTGTTGATGCCGGTTTCGAGTGGAGAGAGGCTGGATGCAGTATGTGTCTGGGCATGAACCCTGACATTCTGGCCCCCAAGGAACGATGTGCCAGTACATCCAACCGAAACTTCGAGGGTCGACAAGGTGCTCTTAGCCGAACGCACCTCATGTCTCCTGTCATGGCAGCTGCCGCCGCTATTGTCGGCAAGCTTGCTGACGTTCGCAAGCTATCGCACTACACCCCCCAGTCGGCCTTTAAGGCCCGCGAGCTCCCTGCGGAGGAGCCCCATGTAGATGAGCGAACCAAGGATGACTCTGAGGAGCGAGAGATGATCGGTGACCAGCCCCAGGACTCCCAGCCTCACACAAACACTCTGGTTAGCGCTGGAGGTGCTGCTTCTGGTCTACCTAAATTTACTATCTGGAAGGGCACTGCCGCTCCCCTGGATCGATCCAATGTCGACACTGACGCCATCATCCCTAAACAATTCCTCAAGACAATCAAGCGAACAGGTCTTGGCACTGCACTATTTTACGAGCTCCGATACAGGGAGGACGGATCTGAAAACCCCGACTTCGTCTTAAACCAAGAGCCTTTCCGACAGACCAAGACTCTGGTTGTCACTGGACCCAACTTTGGATGCGGCAGTTCTCGAGAGCACGCCCCTTGGGCCCTCCTAGACTTTGGCATCAAGTGCATCATCGCTCCCTCGTTCGCCGATATCTTCTTCAACAATACTTTCAAGAACGGCATGCTCCCCATTAGGATCGAGGACAAGGATAACCTTGAAGCCATCGCCGCTGAGGCTCGCGCCAACCGCGACATTGAGATTGATCTGCCCAATCAGCTAATCAAGAATGCTGACGGAGAGACCATCTGCTCATTCGACGTTGAGGAGTTCCGCAAGCACTGCCTGGTCAACGGTCTCGACGACATTGGCCTGACCATGCAGCAGGAGGACAAGATCGCCGAGTTCGAGCGACGCATGACACAAAACACTCCCTGGCTCGACGGCACCGGTTACCTGAAGCGTCCTGGACAGGGTGGCAAGTTGGCCGCTAAGGCCGTGCCTGTTCCCAAGACAAATCAGGGTGAGGAGAAGAAGGAACCCCTCGAGTGGTGATTCGGGTAAAGGGATGTTGGAATGAAGAAATGACTTAACGGCGAAGGGATCTGGTATACTGGTATATGATGATTAGCATCTGGTTTTTGTGGTTTCAAATATTCGCGATGGACAAAAAGGGTTGCTGGCTTTGCTCATACTGAATGCAAAAGCACTAAAACATGGAGTAGATACCAAATCGAAGCTCCTGAGAAGATTTATGAATCAAAATATTTACAATTAATGGCACCGGAATAAGATGAAAGCTACTTTATGCGATATGAAAACGGGTTTCTTCAGAAAATGATAATTTAGAACATTCGTACCATCTTAGAGTACGCTACGAGGTCAAGAGAGTAATATCAATCCCTCTTCCTGATCTCATCGCGAAGGATACCGACATGGACCACGAAACCGGCGGAAGGTCGCAGTTCTTCGGGCAGCACACTATCAGAAGCTTTCCAGACATGAAATGAAGTTGAAAACGCCTTTAACCAAGACTCGAATACTTCGTCACTTCGAAGTTGTTGCCCAATGACACAGACACACGGCCGTCTTTCTTCATCATCGGCAAACGACTCATCGGAGAGTCTTAAACGACACGCATCCGCACATGCCTGAACGAAGGGGTCTACCAAAGCATAGTTATAAACACAATCACAGGCAACAACGGCGTCAAAGCTACGAGCTTCATCAGAACCAGTAAGGGACGGTGTTACCTCGTCCGTCTCCCAATCAAGCGTTGTAAAGCGGATATTCGGTTGTGCTGCACCATGCCCATGCCCATGACCATTTCGTTTCTTCTTGCCTCGGCCACTTGTAGGTGTAGACGTCCCCGAGCTAAACGCAGAAGAGAAGTTCTCGTCAAGATTGCGCTGAACAAGACGCTGCACGTAGGACTGATCGGTGAGGACATAGCGTGCTACGCGTGGACCAAGGGCAAGGGCACTCAGGGGGGAAATGCCACAGCCGAGTTCAAGGATGGAGGCGTTTGAATGGACGGTATTGGCGAGAATGGGATTGGATGAGGAAGACAACCAGGAGGCGAAGCTGGGAGCTATCTTCCATAAGACTATATCTCAAGTCAGCCTTCTCTCCTGAGGAGTGAGTGTGAAAAGGAAAAATCTACCGGCTCCTGTTGTTCCACCTGCGCGTGACGATGACAGAACAGTAGGAGATTGATGAATAGTGTAATCCCGATCAGCAACAGAAACATCGACGGAAGCAGCACGAGAGTCGATGAAGCCAAGATTCATGGAAGGGATAGGCTGTGAATACAGCATAAAAGTTTCTATGCATTTTTAGTGAGACCTGCATGAATGGAAGGATCTTGTAAGCTGACCTTCTTCTGCGTCTTCAACTTCTGGCTCAAGATTTGTCAAAAGACTATTTACGAAGTCCATTGTGAGGTGTTATTTATTCTGATGAAGCGTGGTATGAATTTCGCGTGATGTTGAACAGAGCATTTCGTTGAAAAGGGTTGGTCTTATATGGAGATACCGAGATAGTGTGAAAGCGATTGACCTAGCCGAGTATGGGAGTTGAATGTAAGTGGATCCTGTGCTTTACATATAGGCAAGTACACATATCAGGAACTTGAGGAAGAATCACCTAGACATGCCCCTTGATTCTATGACATGATACAAAGTAATTAAGCTACCCAGAAAGATAAACAATCATGACTACCATGTGTTAAGCTGCAATCAATCCGTCCTAGAGACGAAAAAGATCAAGATGCCGGAAGCTCACAACAGAAATCGACTCTGTCCAACCCAGACAACGCCCTGGCCCAAACGTGATGAACTAACCAATAGAGATTCAAGATCTTAGTCTAGGACCATATAAAACCATGGAAAGTGAGAGCTTGGGGAAGCCATGGCGTCTAAGCAGTCATATCTCAAAACACACTCATGAATGCAAACAAAACATGGACAGTAAATGAAAATACAGAGCCCGGTAAAAAACAGCAAGTCGATTTATTCCGCAGTCAAAGATCCCTTAAGGCGCGTCCTTGTAAAAGCAAGAGGGCCGTACGCTTGGGTCGAAGACAAACAGTAAAAGCAAAAAGATAAAAGCTCCTCACACTCCTGGCCAGTATGGCACCCATGGGTCCTTCTTTTCACTTGTATTTGTTTTTCTTTGATTTCATTTCCTTCCCTTTGTTCCTGCTCGTATTCCGTTCATGTCATTGGTCGGATCTCGTTATCCCTACACCAAACCGTCGTAAAGAGATAGCGCTGAGACGATAGTCTCGTCCCGTTTGCTGCCCTCCTTGAACTCCTCCATATCTAGACTTCCATTCTCGTCCTTGTCCATCATGCGGAAGATCTTCCTTACTCGTTTTTCGGGGGTATCTTCGTCTTCGGGTAATTTGACCATGGAACCGACCTGTTAATGTTTAGTAGGGGTTCATCCTGTCGTCCGCATTCCCCATAGTTGCATGAGGACATGGCGCTGCAAAGCTGGCCACGAAGTCGGTACTCACCATCTTGTAGATAGCTTCGACAATCTTGAGCATCTCGTCATAGCTAATCTTGCCATCGCCATCAATATCGTACAGCTGGAAGGCCCAATCCAGCTTGTCCTCCATCTTGCCTCGGCTAGTAACACTTAGCGCGCAGATGAACTCTTTAAAGTCAATAGTGCCGGACTTGTCGCTATCGAAGACGTTGAATACATAATCGGCGAACGAGCTCGGATCTCCGAACGGGAAGAATTGTCTGTAGATTTTCTGGAACTCCTCCTTGGTGAGTGTACCCGAGGGGCAGTCCTTGAGGAAACCTAGCCCTGATATCAGACACAAATTCCTATCTCATGAAGCGTGCAGACTCCTGGTATAGATCGAGTAGGAGGCTGCGTCAGTGACAGAGACTTACCCTTGTACCATTGCTGAAGCTCCTTCTTGTCGAAATGAGTCGACTTCTGCAACTCGACGAGCTGATCTTGGGAAAGCTTGGACTGTCTGTATAAGCACAAGGAGGTTAGTATTGTTGTGATGTGGTCGATCCCTAGGTATAATGACGTCGGTCCCTAGCTTCCGCGGGGATCCGAGGTTGACAAATGCGCTTGCGACCCGATGGGATTCCTGGCGGCAAGTGACGCAGAGGACACTCTCAGACACGGAGGCGATAGGGCAGAATAATAATGTAAAGCGACTTCCCAAGACAACTGGAATAGGTTGGAGATAAACTTACGATTTACCCATGACGTCTCGGACTTTACGATGTTATCAGCGGGTGGTTATAGAGAGCGCGAATTGCGCGACGGTCGATCAAAGGCTTGGACGTCTGGGGTTGTCTTTATCTCGAAGGAAATGAGGAGCTCTCGAGCCAAGGCGCCGAAGTGAGGGTAAGATGAGGCCGTTTTCTTTTGAGAATCGCTTATCGGTAGGAAAGGTGGTAGATGATGATATCAATGTCGATGTCGATAGCGGGAGGATTGCGGGTGGAATAAGTAGGTCACGTTGGGGCTGGAGAAAAGCGAAGCGCTTAGTGAGGGGAAAGCTATTAAGCTCTCAGGGTCGTGCGACAGTAATAGGCGAGGAGAGACGAGTCGCAGTCGTGGAGGGACACAAGAGGCGTAGAGGCTCAGGTAAAAATCGGTTCAAGCAGAGTAATAAGAGAAGAGAGATGGAGATGGAATAACTACCTGCGTCGTAGGTAAGAAGTGGAGGCCGCTAGATACTGATGCAAAGTGTAAGGCCAAGCAAGCAAGCAAGGTATGGAACGGGAAGTGTGGGAAGGAGTATGATGAGGGTGAGGCGGGAGACACTCCAGTCCGACGGGGTTAAAGGCGATCCAAGATGGCAGCAACTCCGCTGGAATAAAGTCGCCGCCCAGCACATCCTTCAGGGCATCATAGGGGTCTCAGTGCGATTTTAGGCACTGGTAGGGGAGGAGTTAGTGGGGGCGGGGTTTCTGGATAGCAGAACCCCGCTGTACTCCAAGTGGTTGGGTCCGTGATGCCATCCATCCAATTGGTAAGCGAAACCGCGCTCTGAATGCATCTCGACCCATTGGAAATCTGGTTTTTCTTTCGCTTCCAATGACGAATCCGAAACAGCCCGTGAATACGAGGATCTGAGATCTCCAGACTACCTTGCCTTGCCTATACAATAGACTGAGCGACCACAGTATCCCAATACTGACGCTAGGGACATTGTCTCCAAGACCAGCTGCCTCTTTCAGCCATCATCTGTAGTCCCAGCAACGATCTACGGGGAACATCAAAGAGGCTGTGTCTTTTTCGATTTCTCGAAGCGTGGCGACCAGGTTGTCCACGCATGCAACCAACAACCCAGCACAGGATTGTGGCTGTGTTATCAGAGCCTGTCGTGGGCTATCACTACGATCCGCTTAGATTCCTTTGCCCTGATCGAATTCGGTTTTTGACCCTAACAGAGTCCGAGGATACAAACTCCCGATCGAGTCACCTAGACTAAGAGATCTTGGTTCTAGAACGACTAATCGTCAAGTGGTTTGCTCGGAATTCTGATAGTGCTCGTGACCTTCAAAAGCGATGGTCTATCTTTAGCCACGGACTAATTGAGACTCAAGCAAAATGGACTTTGAACAAACAGCTGTAATTCCAGAATATACAATTAGCGCTCATGTGTCACAACTCACAGAGGGAAAAACATCTGCGCCAAGTCGGCACCAAACCACTCTATCGTCAATAAGCTTTTGCTGCGCCCACCTCAAATAAACCCGTCCTTCACCTTATCTAGCTAGCTTCCAAGGAAAAGCTCAGGATGACATGCTGCTCTACACAACCCCTGCTAGATGGTGCCTCAAGAGGCCTCACATATCAACTAATTACCTTGAATCATCTCCGTCACAAGATCCAATTATAGTAGTGGAAATATATTTCAAGTCCTTAGTACTCAATATACTTCCAAGAGAAGTCTTGCTTAGAGGTATCTTAACCATAGTTCCACCCATGCATGCTACCTGTCCCAAATCATGATGCCTCCTGACTCCTATCCCTCTGCCAGCTTGGAAGATATCCAATTCAGAAACTACTTTAATCATCCCGTCCGCTTGCATCTACCAGAACGACACACACGTATACAATCATTAGATACTTAGCAACCATCATACCAGGCCGTACTACTGCGCTCTTCAACCCACGACAACCTTCATGCTCAAGCTCTCCAGAAAGCCACCAAGATCCTCCTTCTTCACCTCTACCACGCAATGCTCAAAACTGTCAATTCGAACCCGCGTGTTGGTTTCTGCTACTACCTCTTGAAACGCGATCCCA